GCTTTCATGAGTAAAAACCATCCGAAGAAGTGAGGTTTTTACTCACGAAAGCTTATGCCCAAATAAATCTGTTAGTCTTTAAGGTGCCACCAGACTCCTTGTTGATCTTGAAAAGGTGTTTGAATTTACTAATCAGTTATCACACACTTCCAGGTTTTATGATTATTCTGTGTGGGAAAGATTAGCCAATTGATTTTTTTTTTTTTTTAAAGCAACTTCTCCTTTGAAATCCTACTGTTTTTTTAAGTTATGTTTTTAATAATTTAAACATCCTTAATCTTTTCCATTTCTTCACTTCTATTTCCTGATTAAAGGAAGGTTACTGCCACCCTCTTTCAGTCTCATGGGGAAGCTTTAACACTCATCCTCTTCAGGACCCCCCCCTCCTTTCCCCTGTGGGGAGGATACTAGTCCCTAGTAGTTCTCTCAGTGCACTGTTGGGTGCTTACGTATCATTAAATCGACTACAATCTAAAAACCTGGCTATAGGAAAGCTGCTGCTGTTCCTGGTACCCAGTCTCCTCTTCAGCAGCCCTCTGCTTTATGGAGAGAGTGTTGCCTTCTGTACAGAACCCCGTGGCAACAGATATTTGTTGCTTGATGTTTATCCACCTGCCAGTGATGTGTATTTTGTCTATGGTAGTGGACCCTTCATCTCTGATGAGGAGTGTTTGTTAACCAATCAGAACATTAGGATTCAGGTACCCAGTATTCCAAGAGGTTTTAAAATACAATGTTGCCTGCCCTATCTTCCAGTTGTTTAAGTGAGCATGTTATGTAAGCTAACAAGTTACATTTCTGGTTTTAATGGATGAGAAGTTAAGTTGGTCATCTACACTATTTTTCTTTTCTTGAACTGACTTTTTGAACAGAAAATCCCCAGTTCCTTCATATGGGAGATGTCATTGATGGAGTGGACATGAGGGCAGAGGTTGGAGTTCTCACTAGGAATATCCTAATCAAGGGAGAGACAGAAAAGTCCTGCTATGCTGGCAATCAGTGTCAATACTTCAATTACGATACATTTGGTGGACAAATCAAGGTTTGAAAAACTTTTAAGTAGTTTCCTTAGATTGAGGATGACTTTTGAGCCAAAGTATTAATTCTAAATTTGGGGGGGGGGGGGGACTACTTTTGTTTCAATATCCTCTAACCTGATATTCACTAAATTCTCACTGAGTGGTTCTATCAATATTTCTTCTCATCTTTCCTAAAACTGGAATTCATTTGCCAAGAATTAGATTGAAGAAGCAGGGACAAGGAAATATTAATGTGTATAATGTTGTTAGAAGCCTGTTGCTTATGTTTATATTGTGTATTGTTCAATGCATGGATGGTTTAATATACAAAGGGCAAGATCTTCAAAAGTGACTGGTTTTGGGTACCCAACCTGAGTCACTTTAATGGAGCTTGATTTTCAAAAAGTGCTGAGCACATACCATCTGAAAATTTGGGCCCTTTTATGGCATCTCCTGTTGGGCACCCAAAACCAAGAGTCCTTTACTAAAATAAAGGGATATAGAAGGAGTCTTAGTGTTACCATTTCGTATATCTTGCATGGCTATATGTTAAAGGAAGATTTAAGGCTGAGATGGAAAGCAGTAGTATGGAAACTAGTGGTTAAAGCAGGGATTCCCAAACGTTTTGCTGGTATGACCACATTTTAATTGATTTCCTCCCGGGACCCCAGACAGCATGAAGGATGCCAGTTTGAAGAGCAAAATAGCCTCCGCTGCCCAGCATGACTTGACATACGCTGCACGTGAGGTCACGGTGCATGGAGGACACCATTTTGCTCTACAAAATGGCTCTTCTGCACAGCGGAACCTCATATTTATGATGCATGTGAGGTCATGCTGTATGGAGGATACTATTTTGTAGAGCAAAATGGTGTCCCCCATGCACCGTGACCTCACACACACCATACATGCGAGGTCACACAGTGCAGAGCAGAATGGTGTCCTCCCCACACTAGGTGCGGGAGGGTGCAACCCCATTTGGGGTTGAGACCCACAGTTTGGGAAGCTGGGTTAAAGATAAAACTTCCCATATTCATTGCAATGGGATTAAATGCAAGGAGTGATTGAGGTGTTATGGTTTTGCCCAGTAGATGTTAGAAATGTTTGAGGCTTCATCCTTTTAAAATGCAAATTCCTTTGCTTTCACTGTGGGTTTATTTTTTTTGTTTTTGTCACAGGATTAGTCTCCTTTTTTAAGTGTGGGGTATAGATTTTAGTTTCATAATGCTGGAAATAATGGTGGGAAAGATCTACAGTCTCTCTTGTGTTGCAGGCTTTGTTTTGTGGGAGGGGAATAAATTGGGTTTTAAGTTTCCTATTGTGATTAAGATAATGCAGTGGAGAAAGATGTTGACAAGTTGTCAGCATTACAAAGCTGGTCTTTGACTGCTGCAATAACTCAAATTGATGAATGAAGTTGGAATAGAAAACAAATATTCTGAGACATCAGAGTTGTTAAATTGTTCTTGTGAGTCTTTTCTGAATAGTTGGGCAGATGTTGCTAAATTTACATTAGAAGTTGTTTATAAAAACATCTACCACAAAGCATTTTCCAGCTTTTGTTAATTTGTAAAATAGGCTATTACAATTAGTTAAAATGTCTGGACTCAGTAGAAACTACAGGCTGATAAGATCCCTTTACGTGGAAAGAACGGTATAAGTGTTGTACTGTACATCCGAGTCAAGCCTTAATTTGTAGCTTTAATGTTTCATTACTGTGTGTGTTTAAACATTAAGGGCCAGATCCTCAACTGATGTTAATTGGGAGCAAATGCAGCAAGGCCGATTTCTGTCAGCCGTCAGCATTACACTGGTCCTAAATGCCTGTGTGGCTCGAAAGCTTGTCTCTCAATAAAGCTATTAGAGAGACGAGGTGGTAAATGTAAGCTCAGCAGCTAAAAAGTTGAAATGGTCAATCACTGCTTCTTTAACTTGCCCACAACATGTAATAATGTGTTTTTTAAGGTATTTATATTTGACAGTCTAATTCACAAGCCCTCAAATGTGCAATGTGGGTAAGTTAATATTACAATGAGAACTTAAAGTTCTTGATTTGTCATTAAATTTGCAAACTTAACTTCACATAACTCTAAGCATTTGCATTTAGTTTACTTTTTTAAGACAGAAGGAAGAAGAAATAGTTGCAGTTGCCCAATTGTTTTTTGTGCAATTCCATAACCTTAACAATTTTTGATGTACAATACTTAGCTGTGTACTAGCCAATTATGCAATTTAATGTGAAAGTCCATAGTTCTGAGGGGATTGCCCATTGTCATGTAGCAAAAGAGCACGTCTTGTGTCTAAAACTGCAGACTTAAGCTATGTCTACACTACAGATCTTACAGTGGCACAGCTGTACCGCTGTAGTTGAGCTGCTGTAAGGTCTCCTGTGTAGCGGCTCTATGCTGACAGGAGAGTGCTCTCCCACCCTCAACGATCGGCAGTAGCTATGTCTGCGAAAGAGTATCTCCTGCTGACATAGTGCTGTCCACGCCAACACTTTTGTCGGTGAAACTTATGTCGGTCAAGGGTGTGTGTTTTTTCATACCCCTGACCAACAAAAGCTTTACTGACAAAAGTGTTAGTGCTGTAGACACAGACTTGCATAGTGACTTCCCTTGTGAGGGTTGGCCACACATGAGCTGGTATAGCTGGATTTTGTTTTAGTTTAGTGTGTCATTTTGATGCAGAAAGGATTCTCACTCCTTTACAGTCCTCACTTGTGGTGTTACGGGGATTGATTATTGAAGGTTTTAATCAAATGGAGAATTGTTTGGGAGTCTGAGTAATTGAAAGTGCAGTTATAACAAAATTCTACTGGAAATTTAAACTGGAGTATTTGCTTCAAGGAATGTTGTAATAAAATAAAAGTCTAGCAGTCTTCTGGTTTTGCTAAGTCCCTTATAGTGAGAGTTCAAGTTTTGTCCCTTGCTTATAGTAATCACAGAGGATTCATTTTAAAGGAACAGATTAGTAACTGGATTTTATTATCTCTCTAAGGTCTTGTATGCACAAGAAAGTTGCACCAAGTTAATTCCATTTCTAAACCGTGCAATCCCTTTGTGTAGATGCTTAAATTAGTTTGAGTGTCCATACAATTGCACATGTTTAATTAAATGAATTTTTATACCAATTTAGTTAAATCAATACAACTTTTGTGTATATAAGGAGAAAAATTCTTTCTTGTTTGACTACCATTTGGCTGTCTGTAAAGAATGTGCAATTTGTGAGAATTCCAGTAAGAGCCATTTAAAACTGACTTGCTGTAGCAATAAAATTCCTGATGAAACTTTTTTTGTTTTGGTAACATGAACATTTTGCTTATGTGCATGTCTCTTGTTTATGAAGGTCACCGATTTATAGATCTGGATATAAAGCAAAACATGAAAATTCTTCAGACTGATTCTTGTAATATTTCACTGTACTTGTTTGTGCATGGAGGAAATCAGTTCACTATGGCTTTAAATTTAAACTTTTACCAGTTTAAAAGTGTAATTGATTATTCAGTTAAATCTTCTTGTTACACACTCCAGATTTTGAAGAATTTCACATCTGTTCATCTCTCCCATGTGGAACTGAGGCAAATGGGCCAGCAACTAATAGGAAGTTACCCTGTTCACTTCCACCGCTGTGGGGATGTGGATGAGAAAGGAGGTTATAGCTTCAGGACTTATCTGGAAGGCCTTTCCATTCATCATTGTTTCTCCAGATGTGTGACAATTCATGCAACTAATGGCTTGTTGGTAGGTGCCATGAAAGAGATGCCATTTCAAATTGTTTGAAAGTAAATGTTAGAAAGCACAGTCGGTGTGAAAATACTTTATTCCATTTTTCAGTTTAAATGTGCACAACATGACTAAAAAGTTAATGCATAATTACCAGGTGTAAACAGTGACTTTTGTGACAAGTCTTGGTCTTTCTAATTGAATTTTTAGAGACTTGCAGTGAGCCAACATCTTCAGAAAAAGTCTCTGGGGAACAAATAAAACTTGACATTTGACTTAGCCATTATTGCTGATATTGAAACTTCATTTTGCAGTTCTGCCAAGATAGTAAAACTAACTGGCACTTGTCAAATAAATCTCAAATGAATGCTATTGCTAATGACATAATGAACTTGTATTTCTGCAGATAAAGGACACCATTGGTTATGACACACTAGGCCACTGTTTCTTCCTAGAGGATGGCATTGAACAGAGGAATATTCTGTTCCACAACCTTGGACTAGTCACCAAACCAGGCACTCTTCTTCCCACAGACAGGAATAGCACCATGTGTATGGCCATTAAGGATAAAGTGTATGGAAATTATGTTCCAGTGCCAGCCACAGACTGCATGTGAGTATCTGGCTAAGAAAAGAAAATCAAATTAGTTGCAGTAATTAAATTTTTGAAAATCTCTTGTTGCTCTACAAATAGGCACGATTTTTTTTTTTTATGTAGGCTACCAAAGGTGGACAGCTGGAATACAACATTGCTATTTAGAAAAAAGCATTAACAATCTGAACAACACAAATAGAATATATGAACAACTGTGTTGAAATACAGTCACTATTTGATATGGTACCTAATTCAGCAGACTTCTTTTCAGGCTATTTCCTTATTCTCATGCAAGGGACCAGACTCTCTGAAACCACCATTTTTAATGCTTAATTCATAAATTAAAGTATCTGATTTCTTCTGTAAAAGTCAAATAAGATTATGCCACTTATTAACAAAATGGTTTATCATTGCATGTAGTATTTTAACCACTTTAAACAAGAGCTTGCAGGAGGACTTCTGAAAGAAATGGAGACAATTTTCTTTAGGAAAATATGGCTTTCTTCATGATTGCTTACTTGAAGTTCATGACAGATTTGCTTTGTATGTCAAATTAGCACTCACTAATTTGCTAGATATGAATGTTAAGTTTTCTGTAGGGATTTTACCATTTGTAGCGTCTGAATTATTTATTGTTTCTGAATAATATATTGCAGGGCTGTTTCAACATTCTGGATTGCTCATCCCAACAATCATCTTATAAATAATGCAGCAGCAGGCTCACAGGTGAGGCACATAGATAGATATTCTTTGACACAAACTATTCATATTTCAGATAACTAAGGCATACACTATTAAAAAGGTAGGCATTTCAAAGTTTCACGTGTAGATGTATTTCTTTTTATGTTTAGAAGTACAATGGCATTTTACATGCAAGCTGTCTCTTCCAAATGGGCATTTGAAAGATACTGAACATCTCTGTTCTGAAGAGAAAAGAAGTTAATTCTTCCTTATATTTGTGACAGTGTGTATAGTGAATCATTTGTGAACAAGGGATATTATGAATACATCCATGTTAATATTAAGGCTTCGATATTTTCTGTAGTTTATATTGTTAGTGTATTGTGTGGCTACTGTTCAGGACTTAAAATTTTGGTCATATTCAGTGGAATCCAAAATAGCTGTGCTGTTTTTTTTTATTACAGTGGACTGAGATGTGTTAATTGTCTTGGCTATGCGTTAGTCTGTTGTTTCTCAACACAGATACCTTAAATGCTGTGACAAGCAGAACACAAATCCTAGAATGATGAGACCCTTCTATCACCAGATATAGAACATTAGTAGGGTTTTGGTGACTTATAATCATTCTCTTCTCCCGGGTGGCAAACTGTAGGGTACAGCGCAGCAGCTCTATAGCCACTATTCAAGCCTTTTGGATAGAGCATCCCTATTGCTCTTGAGCATTCCCTACAGGAGGGTTTTACTTAAGAGCTCAGATCTTCTAGTCACCCCATATTAGCGCATTCAGAGATGGCATGGAACTCTCCCCTGGTGTACCAGGACTGCAGAGGCTACTACTCCACTACTGTGTCCTGGCCACCTCACATGCAGAGTAACATACGGGGTGGAGGGTTGCAGGCTTCTGCTAACTGGTAAATGTCACTTTTAAGAGTGGTTGCTTGGGGAATTGAGAGAAGATGGAGAGCGACACAGGTGTGTGAAATAATTGTTGCATATTATTGGCTCAGAACTCTGAACTGGCCAGACTTCTCAATTTTTTTTTAAAGCTCTTGGGAGTTTTTTTTGCTGTATCATTAAATCTTGATATGGGCATAGTGAGCAATTCGTAAAGACAAATAAGTAGAAAATATTTGTGTATATTCTACAATAAAATGATTAGCTAGCTGAACAAAAATATGATTGAGTACACAGAAATGTAAGGTTAAAATTTTTCCTAGTGACTTTGAGTTCAGACTTGAAATGTTCAAAATTAGGAGATCTTTGTGGCTAAAATTTTTCCTTTTTCTGTGTAACCATGTAATGATGCATACAGCCTTCCTCCCCTCCCCCCCCCCATTTTTAGTTATACTGCAGACAGGTCTTTTTTTCAGACACGATTTAATGTGGAATTCATTGTGAAAGGATATCAGTTGTGTTTTCATTTTATTATTGTTTGAGACATGTAAATTATGTTTAAAATGCATTTGATTTGTTGGAGAGGTCAATATAGCAGTAATGATGATTTAAACATGCTGGCACTAGACAGATCATTGTCACTTTTAAAACATGTTCTCACCCTCTTCTTTGCAGGATGCTGGAATATGGTATTTGTTCCACAAGATTTCAACGGGAGATTCTCATGGTTTATACCCTGAAACCAAAGCAGAACTTACACCATTAGGCATCTTCTATAACAACCGAGTTCATTCTAATTTTAAGGTAATGTACTAATAGCTTGATACCTGGGCTTTAATAACTATAATATTTCAATATTAAGACCTGCATGATTAAACAAAAAAATCATAATGGCAAAGAGAGGTGACTGAAAGCTTGCTCTTCTTGAAATTGGTTGTCTAGTAGTGCAGCACATAGTATAATCAGGTACTTGTGCAGTCCCTTGTAATGCTCGTCCTCAAAGTAGTTTTGGTGTTTAATATTCTCTTTTTTAAAAGGTGGGGAGTTGTTGAATTACACCGAAAACAAAAATCCATAATTTATAGTTTTTGCATAATGTGCTGACAGAAATTGTTAGTTTCTCAAAATTGAAACCTGAGATACTGCTCAGTGTTTTAAGGCTGTCATTTGGCGTTTTGAAGTACAATGATCCTTGAGAATCAAGGTATACCACAGATCAGGGTGGCTATGAACTGAAAGTTGTAGTTCATAAACTGTCAGTGACCTGTTTTCCCTTGGGTCATTAACACACAGACTTCAAGTGCTTCTTTATTGTCTCACAGTATTTGACTTGAGAAGCCCATAGACGATTTCATATGGTAGTTTGGCCACAGCTCAAATCTATGGTACCAGTGGGTACACGCAAGGGACTCTTGAGCCATTGAAAGTCATTCCAATTTATTTAAATTAGCAAACTTCAGTTGACAAAATAAGATACTGTCTCTTCTACATTTTTTGCCTTATAAATTCACAGTGAGCCCTTCAATAAAAAGCATTATAATTTCATGATAGCTGCTCTGTATGGTGATTTACATCTTGATTTTATAAAACCATCTAGAAAAACAACATGAAGTCCGGTGGCACCTTAAAGACAGATTTATTTGGGCATAAGCTTTCGTGGGTAAAAATCCACTTCTTCCAGGTATCTGAAGAAGTGGGTTTTTACTCACGAAAGCTTATGCCCAAATAAATCTGTCTTTAAGGTACCATTGGACTCCGCGTTGTTTTTGTGGATACAGACTAACAAGGCTACCCTTCTGATACTTAAAGCCATCTAGGTATTTCTTTACCCATCTATATTAGCTTAAAGGTGACATAATAAGAGTTCTCTGAAAGTCAAATCCTAAACAGTAAATTTTACATACCATATACTTTGGGATGTTAGAAACTGACTTTTTTCTTTCTTTTTTACTTTTCTGGTTATAATAGTCTTTCCTGCTCCAAATAACAGTGACAGTATCACAGCATGGATGCACAGCTTTATGGGGGCTGTACATTAAAAGTTCTATTTGAAAATTTGAAGTCAGTTATTGTGAGTGGACAAACTTGTATTCAAATCAGAAGCATATTATAATAGAGGTGCTTAAACCAAATCACACATTCCTATTTATACTAAAATGTGGTTGAAAGTAGGGAATATTCTAAGCCAAGACTTCAAGTTTTTGTGAGGTGACTATGCAGTAGAAGAGTTAATAACATTTGAAAATAACAGATTTCAAATGTTTTTAATGAATACTAAATATAGTATTTCCATGAACATTTTCAGTTCTGTGATAGCACTAAGTATTATTTGAGATATATTTCCCAAGGCTATGTTAGCTAAGGGAAATAGAGAGCTAAAGAGAGTACGTTTAAAAAAACAAACAATCCCAGCATTGTACACGCAGTGACTCACTGTTTTGTGAACTCAATTTCAGATTTATCGCGAAAGATAATTTTGTAAAGCTATCTGGGGCTGGGTCAGGTAAATTATTTGTTTCTTTCTTTACTTGTTTCAGGCTGGCTTATTTATTGATAAAGGTGTAAAAATCACCAATGCTAGTGCTGAGGATCCAAGGGAATATCTTTGTCTGGACAACAATGCGAGGTAAATTCTGTTCTTTCAATACTATTGAATGCATATTAACATTTTAAAATAGCTAAGTTCTCAGAATTGAATTCTCTCCTTTCAAAATATTAATAACCTAATATTAGAAAGTGTTTAAAAATTATTTGTTGTTATGGGCAAAACATGATAGGTGTCAGATTTCTGTTATTTTATGTATATGATCACACACCCACACCGACCCACCCACCAGTTTTTGAATCATCAGAGCATGCTGTGTTCTGGGAGCTTGCTGCACCCTCGTCCTGAGCTGGCTCTCTCAACCATAGTAAGCCATTATTTTCAACAGGCTCTGAAAAATGTTTTCCTATCTGATGTGTAAAGTTGAAAACCTATTAAAGGCTATTGAATGCTGGACTCCCTGGCTTGTGGTTCAGTCTAAAGCCGTGGTTCTCTATCAGGAGTATGCAGAGGTCTTCCAGGGGGTACATCAACTCATCTAGATATTTACCTAGTTTTACAACAGGCTACAGAAAAAGCACTAGCAAAGTCAGTACAAAATAAAATTTCATACAGTCAATGACTTGTTTATACTGCTCTATATGCTATACACTCAAATGTAAGTACAATATTTATATTCCAATTGCTTTATTTTTAATTATAATTTAATTATAATTTTAATTCTATAAAAATGAGAAAGGAAGCAATTTTTCAGTAATAGTGTGCTGTGACACTTTAATACTTTTATGTCTGATTTTGTAAGCAAGTAGATTTTAAGTGAGGTGTGACCTGGAGGTATGCAATACAAATCAGACTCCTGAAAGGGATTCAGTAGTCTGGAAAGGTTGAGAGCCACTGGTCTAAAGGACCTAGTGAGAGAGACTTTCAAAGGTACAACTCAAATTGCAAGTAAATGGGAGTTGGTCACCTAACTGCCCTTCATGCCTTTGGAAAATCTCTCACTGTCTTCCAGCAGCTTATTGAATATGTAGCTCAACAGTGCAACTTGAGAGCACCTCTTGCAGTGTATTAATTGATTCGGTATACGTAGACACATTCCGAATTCTCTCCAGGATTCCTAACGTAGCTTGCTCAGTGAAAGAATAGTGGAGAGGTTCCTTCTTACAGGCTGGCTGACTTTTTTTTTTTTCCCTTTGCACTTCAAATAAAATTAATGTGCACATTTAATCAAATTTTAACTGAGGCGAAACTGAATAGTTACATCTACCCATACCCTGCTGAAGAATCTAGTAAAATAAATAACCTTCAAAGTCTTAATTTTCCTGAGCTGGAAAATGTCATTGGGTAAGAGGACTATATTTGTCTATTTGAACTGACCTCTGTTTAGGAAGGGGACAGCTGAATGATAGGTGTGGACGTAGAGAGGAAAAGGCAAGACTCTGAGAACATACCGTGCTTCATGCTTTGGAAATGAACTCACGGTTCAGAAATTATGACGGAAGGCAGATAAGACCAGTGTGAATTACCAACAAAGTAATCATAGCTAGGGATTTGAGACAAAGTAGTACATGGCACCTTACGAAAATATACTGTCCTTAATACGCAATCTGTCCTTAAAAGAATCTGACAGACTGCATAAATATGATTATTAGATAGTATTAGCTGAAGAAAAATTTAAAATAGTCCATTTTTACATTAAAGTTGGACTTCTCCCTCACTAAGGTTTAAATTAACTTTACAATAAAGTTACTTTATATAATATACTACAACAGATTTTCCCAGATGAAACTGCAGAAAAGACTTTTAGTTAATCTTCATACATTTCATTGTTGTCTGAACTGATGTACAGTGACATGATTAGTGTGTCAGACTGGTCAGCCATCCATAGTTCTTAAATTCAGGCCCAGATGTCCCAGCAGAAGTCAATTTGCTGTCAGAAAATTTTATTTTTTAAACAAGGTTCCTTCCCGCTCTGGATCACTGAGTGGGCAGAAGTAGGCCAGCTGTGAACTGCTTCCTTCTCTGTCCCTTCTCTGCTACTGATGCCTCTGGGGGCAGAGTAGAGAGGAGTGGCTGAGGCAGGCAGGAGAAGAAGGTATAATGTCTTTCAACTTCCTAAACCGTAAATGTGGTGCAGAGAGCTCCCTACTGTGTAGGATTGGACCAAGTTTCATAGCAGTTATTTTGTGGGTTTTCACCCTTCAACAAATGTACCTTTACCTTTTGATTCTGCCTAGTTACTTTTGTGTTCAAATCAATAAAAATACAGAGTGGGTATGAATTATTTTCCACTTTCCCAGTTAGCTTAAAACAGGGAAACCGAATATGCCTTATGCCCCTGGGGCTCTCATGGGTTCCCCAACTGGCATCACCCCCAGCCTGTACCCAGGCTATTTCTTCCATCCTCCCTGTTGCTTTTGTGTTTGTAGTACACTGCTACACTGAGTCAAAAATAGGCTGCAGCTGCCACTATGTGGGACCAGCTGGGCAGCAGGTATGGAGGAACGGAGAAACATTTGTCCTACCCCAATGAAGAGCACTCCACAAAATTAGGTGCACTTGAGAGGTCTAGGAGGGACCAGTCAGCACCCATCCCTCCAGCCTTCTGTCTAGTGCAACCAAAGCCCCACATGCCCTTTCAGTGGCAGTGTCAATTTTCCTCCTCTCTCTCCATATCCTCAGATTAATGCTTTAAGGAGAAGGGGAGGGAAGAAAGACACAAGAGAAGGCAAGAAAGAAGAAGAGGATGAGACTCAAGTTGTGGGACAAAGGAGTCGGGGAACAGGAAGTCGCAGCTCAGGAAGAGTAGGATGGGAATCCATAGTGGGAGATATCCTAGCCCTTCTGGGAAAGGAAGAGAAGTGTAATGCTCCGTCTCTGTTATTGCTTCTTCCCAAGAATAGGATGGTCAGATCTCTGAAGACACTGTTGTGGGAATGGAGAATTGTGGGGGCACTCACAGTGAAATTAGGGTTCTAGTCTCTGTCATCTTTTGCCTCCGGCATGTTGCAGGAGCTGATTTTGCCTGTCCAGTGAGTGCAAGTGTTTATATCTTGGTATATAACACAACAGTGTATGTGTGCACAGAGCATAAATCAGATACCTTCCTTTCAGGTGTGGTTTTTTTTTTTTTTTTTTTTTTTTCCTTTTTTCCCTCCCTTTGTAAGGTTTCGACCTCATCAAGATGCCGACCCTGAGAAACCCCGAGTTGCTGCTCTGATTGACAGACTAATTGCTTTTAAAAACAATGATCATGGGTCTTGGGTCAGAGGAGGGGACATCATCATTCGGAACTCTGGGTAGGTATCCAAGAGCAAAGCTCTGCCTGCTATAAAAAGACATTCTCTTGGACAACGGTATAAAAGCTAGTAGAATTGTGAGTTGTAAAGTCTGGAAAAGCCTATATTAAAGTAGGGTTATGAGAGAGAATGTCAGAGCTAAACCAGTGAAGCTGTTTGTCTCATTCCACTAATGGGCTGAAACAAAGTCCATGCAAGATTACATGGGAATTTCATTTAAATGGGAAGCAAACAAGGATTTAAAATGGCATGATAGAGAAAATTTAAGTCCAAAAAATTAAGAGACCATAGAAAGTACTTTTAATCTTTTGACTTTTAGTATAGTTGAGGTTTCTCTAAAGCTATCATATGGCCACTAAACAAAACCATACAGAAACAGTTATACTGATTTTAAAACACCAGAAATCTCTAAGTATAATAGCTATGGTGATTTTCATTTCATACACAGATTAAGATTCGATTCAGTTTGAAGTGAATCTGTGCTCTGATCCTTTGAGAAACTAAAATAAAAATACACATTTCATGAACATTAAAGTATTGTATTGTACATGATTTGAAATTCACTGTATTCAAAAATAATTTTCTCTTGTAGGTTTGCTGACAATGGAATAGGTTTAACTTTTGCCAGGTGAGTATTTTTGTACTGGATTTCATCGCTATGTTCTGTTTTCCTAGCTTAATTTTTCACAGTATATGTCGAAGAATAAGTAGTAGATGTGATACTGGGGCTATTTAGAAACCCAAATCTAAAAATATTAGAAATGTGAAAATGACCATAAGAAGGCCAAGAGGGTTTACGTAAGGGGAATGTCTCACCACTTTTGACCCGGAGTCTGCTTCTGCTGGAGCTCTGATACATCGAGTCATGATACTAGATAATTAGATGACATGACCAGAACTCTAGGAAAGTGTACAACAGGTGTTCTCAAACAGGGGGTTGGGACTTCTCAGGGGGTCACGGGGTTATTACATGGGGGGTTGTGAGCTGTCAGCCTCCACCCCAAACCCCGCTTTGCCGCCAGCATTTATAATGGTGTTAAATTTATAAAAATGTGGTTTTAATTTATAAGGGGGAGTCGCACTCAGAGGCTTGCTATCTCAAAGGGGTCATCAGTACAAAAGTTTGAGAATCACTGCCAACCTCCTAGCTTTTCACCTTGTATAATTAAAATGTTCTTAATACTGAAAATACAAGTTTTAAAGAGTGGACTGGAAGTCAAGGGGAACAAGAAAATGTAATACTTACAATTAATTGATTTAATGCACATACAGTTGTTTTTAATTTTTTTTAAGGCTAGGGCTTTTGAAAAGCAGGGATTAAATTGTATATTGCAATACACTTCTAAACAAAAGGCTTAGCCTCCTTTGCTTAGATAAAGATAAACAATATTTAGAACTTGTAAGATGTCTTTTTATTTCAGAACAATATAACTTTCCTGTTTGCTGTAATACCATATCAGTAATCTTGAACTTCATTTTGATAGTGACGGAAGCTTCCCAAAAGATGAAGGCTCCAGCCAGGAAGTATCAGAATCTTTGTTTGTTGGCGAGAGCAGGAATTATGGCTTTCACGGTGGCCAAAACAAATACTCAGGAACTGGAGGAATAGACAATAAAAATCGCACTCTGCCTAGAAATCGGTAAGTGTTTCAGTGGGCAAAACAAAGCTGCTTTTTCCAAAATTTACTTTTTCTGTTTGATTGAAAATAGCACTATAAATTTAGAACTAGTATTACATTGCATGGAATAAAAAAACACTCCAAGATAGAACATGGCTACAAGGGGATCTGCATGGTTTGGGGACTTGATGACAGAATGTACTACCTTCTGCTTCTAGGCTGGCAGTTTGAATCCAGCTGAGAATAGTAGTGACTAAAAACTGTTAGTCTGATGGAAGGTGGGTAGGTTATATCAAATTAGTTTGACCATCTCAGTCCTGTTTCCAGTGAACAGGTGTTCACATCCCAAAAACTATTACCACAGTTGGTGCTAATTTTCACCTTTATTGACGCTCCGTAGATCCTCTCAGATGTAGGAGTGGTCCTTCCAGGGGCACAATTAAGGCACGTTAACATAGCAGTGTAGGAAATCTTTCACTGATATTGCCCAGTATTTGATGAATAAGAGGACTTCAGTCTCCTGAATGGTCAGTTTAACAGTGTCACAGTCTAGGGAAACTGCACCTGTATTCTCCCTCTATGGGCCTTCATGGTGCCCACTCTGAGGCTTCCAGCTCCCCAGTCGTCTCCTCTCTTGCGTGGAGACCCACTCCTCTCTCCCTTCTGACTGGAGTATTTCTAGGCTGAACAGTTCCTTGCCGTCACTGTTTTTCCCAGCAAAAGCCAGTCTGCTTAAGCACACCTGCTTGCTTTAATATCCGAGACTAATAATCAGCCCCAGTGATTTAGCTATTGTACAGTTCTTTCTAAGCAAGCATATTTGTTTCTTAAGATAAAAGCACTACAGAGGGAACCTTAACAACAACAACAAAAAAAAACATACATGTATGCAAATAAGCTTACCAGAGATCACCCCAACTCTAACCTAGGCTCCGTCACGTGATTAATTCTTCAAAACCCACCCAGGGGTTTCAAGTTCATCACACTCCTTTTGTTCACAACGAGAACATGATCTTATAGGGCCTCAGTTGGCCAAGGTCCTTCCAGTTCTTCCCTAAATATTGGGGACCTCTGGACCTAAGTTCCCTATAAGCTATGTGGCCACGCAGCAGCCTATTTAGCGCTGCACAGGTGCTCAGGGAACCCAACTGCTGGGACCTGCTGCAACCAGGGGAGGGACGCCCCTAAGCGCTGATTTTTCCCCTTTAGCCAGGGGTTGCTCCTCCCCTTCCACCATGTCCCTGCCCCGCCTTTCCTGCCCCCCATCCTCCCCCATCCTATCTCTTCCCCATCTCTTCCCCTGAGTGTGCCCCATTCCCGCTCTTCCCCCTTCCTCCCAGAGCTTCCTGCATGCCACGAAACAGCTGTTGGTCAGTGGAGCCACCGGCAGGTGAAAGGTGTGGAGGGAGCTTAGCTGCCAGTGGGTTCTGAGCAGCACCCACAAATTTTTCTCTGTGGGTGCTCCAGCCCTGAAGCACTGACGGAGTCGGTGCCTATTGAGGCACCCCTCCCCCAGCTCCAACTCCCCTCCCTGTGTCAGACAAGCTCCACCTCCCCAACGGCTTGCCTTGGGAAACTTATTCACCCACTGCCAGATAGCACCCCTTGCCTCACATAAGAAGGGAGAAGGCGTAGGGCAGATTCAGCTTAGGGTAGCTCTATGCTGGTGAGTCATCTGAGAAGTTTAAGATGGTCTGGAAGCCTGAGGCTCCCTGCCTGCCCAAGCACATGGGACTCCCAATTGGGCACTTCTGCTGTAGGGGTCCCACAGCATCCTAGGAGGGAGAGGCAAAGGGGAATAGTTTGGTGGGCTGCAGGCAGCTTGGCTCCCTCTTCTAATTCTAGAATTTGAAGAGTAGGTTCTTACTTGTAAGTAAATAGTGGAGGGAAGACTTCATTTGTCTTTAGTGTCCCACTCTACAAACCATTGTCTTAGCACTGCATTCTTAATGCTTTTAAATGAAGGGAAGCATTGCCTCTCAGGGACCCTGAACCAAGACTTCTAACAGGTCATGTATCCGTGTGTGTGTGTGTGTATTAAACATATTCTGTTTTTAACAGGACATTTCCAATCAGAGGTTTTCAGATTTATGATGGACCCATTCATCTTACCAAATGCACATTCAAAAACTTTGTGCCGACTGTTGATAGATACACCAGTGCAATTGGATTCCTATTGAAAAACCCGTGGCAGTTGACACCTAAAAACAACATTTCTCTCATTAAGTTTGATACAAATGTAAGCTTAATGCAAAATTAATTTTCAGTGGATGGGGTGGAAAAGGGAGACTTCATGGAGTAGGGAAGGATGAACTGTGTACAGTGTCCCATGCAGGAGATTTATTTTGAGAGAATTTTGGTGATGTCCTCCTATTTCTTCAAACAAAGGGGAATCACATGTGCACTCTTGGTATTGCTTCCACCTGCCCCATTTCTGTGCTGACTGCCACCACGGGGCCTGGGTTGCCTTTTCCCTGCTTCCCTGCAAGTACCTGCTTCTCTTCAGGTGAATGTGCCCAAACTGAGGTCCCCAGGTAATGTCTGCTGAGCAAGGGAGTTGTGGTTTGGAGAAGGGGAGTCTGCCACATTTAAGGACCTTTTGGGCTGCTGAAAAAGGCTCCAGAAACTTTGAAAAGGCTGGCAGATGAGGAGGTGAGATTAAGCAACTTCTAGGGGACATATGCATGTCCTACATTTTTGGTGTCTGTCCCATGCTAGCATTGAGATGGATGGGTTTGGATAAAATGTCAACCAGCTTCTCCTGCCTTTGCTTACAATTAAGACTGAATTGGACCTTTGAAGGTTGAAAACTATACTTCCTCCATTGTCACGTGCCTTTGAACTTCCTGATTTCAGCCAGAAATGCTTGTACTTAAAATCTCATGAGAAGTGCTGTTCTTGTACTATTTCTGGTTTACCAGGAAGTTCAGAAAATAACAAGTGCCTGTTTGTGTGAGGTTTCTAGCCCAATGAGTTTCCAGTCCAAACTTCTATTCAGAACAGAGCTTCCAGCCTTTTTTTGAAATTTGCATATCATTAATTTAGAGTAATCTATTCTCTATAGCCAAATATGTATTCTCCTAGTCTGGAAACTAACTTTTTTTCTTTTTTATCTTGTTTGCTTGCTTACTCTGGTTACAAGAGTTACTTAAATCATTGAATTCTAATATAGAATTCATAGTAAAGTGAAGAACTACTCCTATTAGGCTGTGCAGTTGCTGACAGAACTGTATAGTGAGGCATGAAACCAAAGACCAGTGCCTCCCAACCCAAGCTAAGCTGTGGAGACAGTATAGACAAAAATGGGGTTTTGGTTTGGGTTTTTAATGCTTGCTTTGAGAACAAAAAGTGATTGTAGACGTGTAATGATAATGAGACAAGATTCTTTAAGACCTGAGGCAGCTGAAATAATAAATTTGCAGTCATAAATACACCTCTACCCCGATATAACGCAACCCGATATAACACTAATTCGGATATAACATGGTAAAGCAGTGCTCCGGGGGACCAAAGCAAGTTCGATATAACACGGTTTCACTTATAATGCAGTAAGATTTTTTTGGCTCCCTAGGACAGCGTTGTATCGAGGTAGAGGTGTATTAACATAAAATTCTGAAACATTTTAGCAGAAGTCTGGGCTTCATGTGTTAACTGAAAATCACGCCTACTACAAAATAATGAAATTCTGTTTTGCAAGACTATGTTGTCCTTGTTAGAGAAGTTATTCAGCTTATAAACCTTGTCAGACTCCTGATTGTCTTTGCATACATGGAAATGTTTATCAGTGTGTTACTAACTGTATACATGCAGTAGCACTACTGAAATTGGTGGCTTTATGAGAGAGACTTAATTGGAATATTTCACTTCCCTTTTATGGTCAGGTTTCTTTGAAAGTCTTCTTTGGTAAACCTGGTCCCTGGTTTGAAGACAGTGAGCTGGATGGTGACAAGAACTCAATATTCCATGATGTAGATGGTTCTGTGACTGAATACAAGGACACTTGCGTTGGTAGAATGGATAATTTCCTGATCCGACATCCAGAATGCATTAATGTTACACAGTGGAATGGTGTGGTTTGCAGTGGGACCTATGCACAGGTTGGAACTGTTGCAGTTCTTTGTGTATTCTATATTTTATGTATATTGACACGACTTGAAGAAAAACATATCAAAGCCATGAAATGCCCTTCCTCTTTAGGTTTTAAAAATTTTATTTTGCACTTACTTTGCCTTCTAGATGGTTCTGAACAACTTGTTGGGGGAAGGGAGGGAATTATGATAGCAAATGTAATAAAGCGAATCTTTATGCAGTGAGTTGACTTGCCATCATCTGCATACCGCAGTCCTGTTGGCCAAAACTTTTAAGTGTGGGAGTTTTCTTATACTTGTGGTTCTGTTTCACACAATATTTATTAAAAATGTGAAATATAGTTTTCTGAATACAAACCCCTCTGCTGGGATCAATTCCTAGCCTGTCACAGACTTTGTGTGTGACTTTAAGTAAGTTACTGAATCCCTCTGTGCCTCTGTTTCCTATCTGTAAAATGGGGGAAATTATTGTCGGCCTTGTCTATTTAGGCTGTAAACTCTACAGGACAGCGACTGTCTTTAATTGTGTGCACAGTGCCAAGCTCACTGGGGCCTCTAGGCATGACATCTAATTTTCTAGTGGTTCTGTTTACACTGTTTATCTGTATTTTCCCTCATATATATTGTTTCTAGTGAAACTGATCAAAAATTGTCAGATTACTTCAAATCTCTTCTCCTCCTTCTGTCTAATGCTGTCTTTTTTTTTTTTTAAGTTGTACATCCAGACAAGGAACCCACAGAACCTTACTATGACCATAGTACGAGACGAATACCCATTCAGCCCTATGGCACTACGAGGTATTTACCAGCGAGCTGACTTTCAACAGTACCAGCCTGTAATAATGCTTCAGAAGGGTTATACAATACATTGGAATGGACAAGCTCCCCAAAGCACTTATCTTTATCTCATTAACTTTAACAGGTATGTTTCTTTGCATTTTTGCCTTTGATCCAAAAGACACCATTGGAATACTGTGTTGCAAAAATAGTTGGGATACATTCAAAATTACAACCACGAGTAAGAATGGAACTTGATTTATCTGAAATAGCAAATATTAAAAGCAAAATGTGTACTGGAGACGTAGGCCAAAAGCTGTGTATAGCTATACAGAAAATGCTGTAAAGAAGTATTTAAAGAAAAGCCCTATTGCTTTATTACTGCATGAAGCTGTGCAGTGTAGAACCGCAAATGGTTCGACCTATCACTGGCCTTATTAAGAATCACTTGAAAAAGATGCAGTATGTTAAACTGGAAAATTTAAAAATTGCATCCAAACAAGGTGGATTGATTTAAATCCGTGACTTAAATCACTGAAATTTTTATCCTGATTTAAATCAGCAAGCAGGAAATCTTGATTTAAATAATTTTTTTCATGTTTTGCATTTGTACTTTTTAGTTTTCTAAAAAAAAAAAATTATTTATTTTCATAGGTTGATAATCCATTAAAACATGTTGATTTGCAATTAAATATACCTTTACACTGAATTTGATGCTGCTTTTTGCTAACCAGGAGGATACTCTATATTTAAGCGGATATGCTTAACTTTTAACTGGATGATTGATTTTTTGGTTGTCTCCCTCCCCCCTCCCCCTTGAGTCATGTCAAGCTCAATTTGGATGGAAATTGAAGTTAAAAATTCACAAAAACATTTAATTTTTTTATTAACTAAAACTACCTTGAATGTGCTGGCTACATAAAGAAAAAAACAAAACGTTTTTTATCAAAACACTGATTTATTAAACACAGGAAGTATTATCTGTAGTTAGTTTCTGGTCACAATGTCCTTCAAGATTTTAGAACTAGTGGACCTCCTCCTCTCACATACAGCTTTTATTCAAGAGAAAAACAGCTTTTCTGCTTTTTCAGCTCCCAAATGGTGTCTTAACTTTGAACAATTAATTATTGAACTGAAATTGTTGAATAAACTGAAATGAAAATACTCTCTCTGACAAAATATTTGTTTCCACTACCACAAAAACAAGAAACTTGCTCAAATGAATGAATTATAACAATTTTGTTTCACTCTATTTCCAGGAATGACTGGATTCGGGTTGGACTCTGTTATCCATCAAGCACAATTTTTCAAGTAACATTTGATGTTGTTCAAAAGCAGACATCTGCTTTCTATAGTGTGGAGGACTATACATCAGTAACTTCGATGATGGAGCTGCAGAAAAATCGATCAGAGAAGAAGTTTTATTTTGACAACAGCACTGGGTAATTGTATATAGATTGATAATAAAAGGATACTTTATTTAATAGTAAAATTGCAAGTTCAGTAGTGTTAAGACTTGGCTCTGATGGCTGCTTAAGAAGGGAAATCTTATGGAGAAACACTAAGCATGTCACCATAGACGTTTGGAAGAGTAATCTACATAACTTGTAATTATAAATGTAGTGGCCATCAGATCCGCACTTGTAAACGTATACCACAGCTACCACAGTTATTTCCTATTCTAAGTATGGGGAAAACTGTGGCATCTCAAATACCACAGAAAGGTACCTTTTGGCAAGTAACTGCTTTGTTAGTTTAGTATGGCTCAAATGTAAATGTTTGCCCTTCACCTCTTAAACAGAGTTTAAGAAAATTACTGTTGGTCCAGAAGGAATCAGACATATTTTCTTAAACTATGGAGAAAAATTTTCAAAAGTGACTTAGGCACTTAGGCATGTCACTTTCAAAAATGGGGCTTAGGCTCCTAAGTCCCTTAAGCACTTTTGTGAATGTTACCACTGAAGACCGTAATAAAGCTTCCTTGGGGGGGGGGGGGAAACGATGTATACTTTTTTTGCATGTTGTGGTTTTTTATTTTGTTTTTGTTCCCTGTTTTTTATTATAATCAGAATATTAGTATAAGATTTTTTGGATCTCTTATTAACTAGTTTGAGGTAATTGTGTAGATAAACAGAGTATGTAGTCTTTGATATCATTTACGTTTTCTTTTTTCATCTAGAAACTACAGTGACAAGCAACTATAGAAAAGCTGGTAGAGCTTATCAGTATACCAATCTTCCAGTCAGGATGTGTTTATTGGGCTTTATGCACACTCAGAGCAATAAAGCTCTTTATTTTCTAAAATACTCATATTTTTGCATATTGTACAATAAGAGCACTGTTGTTTTTGTTTGATTAATGTCTGATATATTAATTGCCAGATAGCAAGTTTAGTGAACATTTGTTAAGATGTGTGGTGTGAAAGTTACTGGTTGGTGGAGGGGAGATGAGTGGTGATTTATGGTGGCTAAATTTTTTTTCCCTCCGTTCAAGCAAATCCTGTCATAATGATTTCTCTAACAGTTGGAGAGTTCTAATATATATCACTCAAGATTTCCCTATTGTAGTAGTTATTACAGAACATTTACAGAGGACTGTACATTTACGGAGATTTAGAAAACAAAAACACATGACCATTCCCCTGTCCCTCAAAAGCTTGCAGTCTGAGGTCTCCTATGTTCACTAATCAGTACATTTGAGGAAATTTCGATTATGTAAATTTCTGTATTTTATCAAGTAGTTTTCTAATCTCTTGTATTATTTTGTGTTTAGATTGCTGTTTTTATATCTTCAAGCCAAATACAATAGGGACGGTCACAGTTATTGTTCAGCTCAGGGATGTGAAAGGGTCAAGATTCAGGCCACTGTTCAATCAAAAGAGATCAGTAACTGCATGACAAAAGCTTATCCAAAGTACCAAGCACCACCTATTCAACAGCCAATGCCAGCCAAAACTACTGCACAGTGTAAAAATTGTGGCACAACTCAGGTAAAAAAAATTCATAAACGTGTATGTAAATTACCAGTAGATATTAACTTCCACATAATTGCCTTAAATATGGTTTTCATGAAGGAGTGAGAATACTTCAGAAGCAGATATAACCTGGAAGAAAGTTCTACTATTGTGTATATTGTTTACTACATAAGGGGCAAGTCAGTTCAGTTTGAATGTATTCAAAATTGTTTTTGTTTTTTAAAAAAAAAGCTTTTACAAAAACCAAGGTTTGTAAAAATGATCCAATATCCTTTTTTTTTAAAGTCCAAAGGGAACAGCCCCTCTAGTGTTTTTCAACCTTAATATTGGTGTACTTCAAGGGCCTCTGTGCATTTTCAGTTAAGGGTTTTGGTGTCTGTAGCGTGAAGCTATGGAACTGTAAATAATAAAGCCATTCCTGCTAGGGAGTGCTCTCATGCTAAGATGACATCATTGTTTATATACACACACACACACACACACACACACACACACACACTCACTCTCTCTCTCTCTCTCTCTCTCTCTCTCTCTCTCTCTCTCTCTCTCTCT